TACAAGAATGTGTCATTGGTGTTACTATTTTTGTTTTTGCTACAAAAGAGTTACCAATCCTGACAAGAGATTATAAGCAGTCCTGAGCCATATTACATCACTTCTCACCAAAAACAAATTCAAGCTGTTCTATGATATTCATGGTCACATACTGATGGACTTCTGAAGTAAAGGAAGTAGACTATTACAAACTTTTTTTTTTGTCAGTGGTGTTTTCATCGTTATTTCAAAACAATTTTAGATATTCATTAAACTCTTTTACGAAAGGTGTTCTTTGGGTGAACTTATTACACTGTGGACACGACCTTTACATTATCCAGGGTCAATGAAAGATACCAGATCGTTTTATGACTTGTACGTCATTGGTGTTACTGTCATTGGAGTTACTCCCTAAAGTTTAACACCAATGACAGGTATGGTTACACCATTGACAAAACAAGTACATTTGGAGGCAAAATGTATTCTTCTTAATATGTAGAAAATTTATTTTATTTGTATTCTACTATGCCACCTAATTCATGGTGTTTGAAGGCAAGTTTGAAATTATTTTTCAATAAATCAATTTTCCACTTAGAGACTTTTTTCAGTACATGGTAACACCAATGACAATTTAGTACATGTACATGTAACACCAATGACAATCATTTTTTTTTTACACTCATAAAATATATTTTCTCTTTTGAATAATGCACAGGTCATAAATTAATGTCAGAGTTTATCACCTGAGTAAAGTAAAATTAGTCAAGTTTAACTTGGTTTTCTTTAATCTCTACGAATATTTACCCTTTTTATAGTAACACCAATGACTAGTGAAGTAACACCGGTGACAAGAGATTTTGATTAATACATTTTATCTATTATTTCTTTAATGAAGAATATGGAATTTAAAACATTTCATCAGGCACAATGGAGACCCTTTTACCCTACCAACATTTTTTTTCAAACCAATGAAAAACTATCACTGTATTTCTTTGAGCTTTCACCGTGCATTTGTATACAGTACATGTGTGGGGCTTAATTGAAGAAAAAGTATGAAAAGGGGTTAAAGATTGCAATAGGGGGTTTCTGCTTTATATTAAATAATTTTTATTTAAGGTAGTCTACAAAACTCACTTATACTTTAAATGTTTAAATGACATTACACCTCCTCCAGCTATGCATTATTCTATGGTCACGATAGGATAAGTCAAGTCAGTGGTGTAACCAGTTTTCTTTTTGTTATAAAAACATTTAAAGTACGAAAATGATTTTATTTTTGTTTGGTAGGCATATAGTCTATTCTACTTTTCACGTTAAGTTTTATATTATAATATGTTTAAATGCTAATCGTTAAGTGTTAAGTCATCGGTATTACTTATTTTAGTCATTTGTGTTACAGCAGAGTCAGAGTAGTAACCAACCAAAAACTGGGTTTTTTTTTTTTACTTTCAATAGGTTTAAATGTAAGACATAACCTTACATTACCTAATTGTACTTCTTGAAAAAATCATAAAATGTGTTATTTTGATTTTTCAGTCATTCTACAAAAACATGACGAATTAAGAATTTTTTGTGTCGCTTACAAATTTACCGTTGTAATATCTAAACTATAAATTCAGAGATCGATTTCAACTCTAAGACCTAACATACACACATGGTTTGGTAAATATTTACCGGTATATATGCAATTACAGTTTTGATATGAACATAATGTAATGTTGAAATATTCCACTGCAAATCTCAATGTCGCTTCATTTATTTACAAATTTCAAGATGAAATTTTCAGCCTTAAAGCGTTCCAAATAGATTGTAATGAATGTTTAAAAAAAGGTTTTTTTTAATCCTAAATAAAAAGAAATTAAACCACTTCTCGCAAAGAGATGCAGGGACCTTCTTTCATGCGAAATTATAGCATGTCGCTAAAAATCGATTAACTTCCGTAACGATTTTGTTTTAAATTTTACGCACAGAAGGCAGATTTCAAAAAGAACTGAAACTTATCTGAAAGTGACCACGGAACCTAATATCATCGATTCTAGTTGCGAGTCAGCTATTTTAGACGATTACATTTTCGACATAACAAAATGAATTAGACAAAAACAGTTGTCTCACTTAAAAATTTAACTTCCGTAACGGTAATTCAGGAAAGTTTTTGCATTTAAGGTATAAAGATTTTTATTATTTTGGGAGCGAAATGCTTCATACCTTTGTTTAATATCCTAAAACAAGCTTTAATTTTAACTATTGCCGAGAATTTTAACTTTTATTGCTGGGAATTAACTTCCGTAACGATATTTTTCCCGAAAAACTTAATATCGGATTCATGCGAGACTTCATAAATCACACTTTAGCGTTCTTTACTGAGCATCAGAAACGAAAAATTCATCAAATTCAGCTTATGATTTAAAAAATAATAAGACTTGTTCAAGCATTAACTTCCGTAACATTACCTTAAAATCAATGGCATTTTAAAACTGTTGTAGAAAGTTGACGATACCGGATTTGTGGACAATTCATTTTTTATTTTTTCAAGTTCACTGATATGTCATTTAGAAATTATGTTAATTTTGCTTTTTGAAACTATTTTTTTTATGTTTTATACCCTTAATTGGTCCATTTATCGTAGAATGACTGTTTTACACACATGACACCACATTCACAGCAAAGTTTAGCATGTGTTTATTAATTTATGTCTCATGTCAATGTCCACATCTGATTAAAAACTTAATTTGCACCACTGGATAATGATACTTTTGGACATGTCAGTAAACTGGAATAATTGCTAGCATAGCTTGCATTCATAAGTTTTTCACTTGGTTCTATACAACAATCCTTTATAAGGTAACACCAATGACAGATAAACACTGTTTGATAATTTTTACGAGAAAATTCTGAAAAAATACCTCTCCTTGTGTTTGCTAAATGTTGTTTTCCCAAAATATTGTGTTGTATTATCATTTTACATTAAAAAAAAAGAAACAGAAATATTTAATTGTTTCTCCAATTTTCATATGAACCATTTGGCTGCTTTTTTTTATATTGACACTCACACACACACACACACACACATACCCTCACCCTCACACACACACACCCACACTAATCGGTAGTATATATGTATATACATTTGCCTAATCAGTTACACCCACCGGCAAGTGGTGGCGTCTCCATATGAGTGAAAAATTCTCGAGAGGGACGTTAAACAACATACAAACAAACAAACAAAAATCAGATTTTCAAATCGATTACGATCATATCCAACTGAGTTATTAGCTAAAGGGTTACAAATTGCCACCCATAGTTAAATTCCATCTCTATTTGAAAGAGTTTTTTCAGGTTTCATCATGAACTTGTTAAGAACTTACATTTGTTCTCAACATTTTTAACGTAAAATTTTGTTGCTGCGTACTTTATTTGTCTCAATTCAGAAGATATTTTTTTTAAATTATCCTTTACTAATTTTTTGATGCTGCAGTGACAGTAATTTCTAGCACTGAATATGACGTCCACCATCTACGACAATATTTTCTCCATTGATGTATGATGCTTTTTCAGAGGCCAAAAAAGAAACTACTGAGGCTACATCTTCCTGCCCACTGATCCGCCCAGAAGGGTTCTCTTTTGCCCTTGTATCAATAAACTGGAACACAGGATATATTGGGTACAGTCCACTAATTGTTTTCCCATAGGCGGCAATCTTAATGTTTCTTCACATAGCAATGTCCCTAATTTTCGTTCAGCAGTGAGTGACCCCTCAAATCAAAGCACATCAAGTTGTCTTTCCTTGGTTAAATCTCGAGGTGGCATGTCAGATTCGTTTTCCGGCAAAATGCGTCTGTCTGCCCAACCTCTGAAAATGAACGTGAAAGTAGGGGAATTCCAGACTTCTCACTGGTGTTATAATACATAAAATAATTCTGCTGATCTTCTTGATAAATTACATCTGCCAAGCTTTTTTGCAAGGGAACATACTCCTTATCAACAAGGCATGAGGCTCAGTTTAATACATTATTACAGTTTTTTTTATTCAGGTCTGCAAATTAATGAACTTGTAATTTTTTCTGCACTACTTTCTTCCCCTAACGATATTAAAAATAATTAGAGGTATGTACCCATATGGAATTCATGCATTAAAGTAGTCCTTGTATTTCAGTGTCAGACTTCAGTAAACAAAAAGATATAATGTATAATGAATAGACTGCTTTACATTAATATCTTTTTACTATATACTTTCTTCATCAGAAAGACTGTATATTAGATGTTGTAATATAAACATTTCCAGTTAGTCGTATGTAGACAATTTCAAATTAATAATCTTTCTTTAAGTATTTTGCATGCTTCGTATTTATATCATTTGCACAATCACTGAACTGTACAATATTTAATGTTTGATTGATGAATACGTTTCATTTATTTTATAATCTTTCCAGTGGCAGAGAATTATTATATCCGGTATGGAATGATGAGAGTAAGCATTGTTAAACTTAAAAGTAAAATGAATTCCGTTTGCCCGATCATGATAAGGAGCATACGGCGGGTTTAACCAATCGACAGGGGATGCTTTCTCCTCCATGGCACCTAATCCCACCTCTGCTCCCAATTTTTAATGTTTCAATGGACGTTTAGCTTGATTACTGTTCGTTATCTACATATTTCAATCTTTATTTCAAAATTCATGTACGATTTAAAATAATAATTTCAATAAAACGTGTATGCAATTAGATAAATATTAATAATGGCCTTTTGATATTTTAGATTTTGAGATAAATGATTCGTCACAATATTTAACCTTATTGTATGATTCTTTATCTCCAAAACCAGGAAAGTTATCACGTCTCAGAAAATTGCTTCGTATGAGACCGGGCCTGTTAATGACACTGAAAGTATAAAGAGTGAATATGAACAAATAGATTCTTTTGAAATGCATTATAAGGTAATTTCTTTGTTACATCATTTTATATAAAAGATGTTTCCACATTTTCATACAGGAATATATTTCATATGTTCAAATTTACCTTATATCAAAAGGGCGCTAACTCTGAAACGGGAGAGTAATAGTGTCAGTTGTACTGTAAATATTATAATCTGATTGAACTATTTGAACAAATTGATATTTACCCATTGATCGTTGTCTTGATCGTTTGTCCATACCACATCATTAACAGTTTAGAAGATTGACAGATTTTTATGGATACGAATGAATAAACTCAAGCAGATTTCTTCTTGTTAACAGTTTATTACCGTCTTCCTTGGAAGAACCGTTCACGGTAGCTCAGTCAGTAGAGCGCTCGCTCCGTGATGGGGGGGTCTTGAGTTCGAATCTCGGCCGCGACTGACCTAAGTCGATAAAAAAGGGGAAGCAACTGTTCCTTCGCCATGCGCTCGGCACTTTGAAGTGAAAGATGTGGGTCCTTCGGAAGAGACCTTAAAAATCGAGGCCCCGTGTCGCGGCGGACGTTGGCACGATAAAGATCCCTCACTGTTCAATGGCCCTGAGTGTCGAGTAAAGGTCAAAATTTGAAGCCCTTCACTGGTATATAGTGACGTCTCTATATGAGTGAAAAAATTTTTGTATTCATATGAAGCAGAATTTGTCCAAAATCTTGTACGTGAAAAGAAGAAAACACTTGCTGTGGCGTTCAACTCGACATTTAGATATATCGACGACGTATTGTCAATTAACAATGGCTATTTTCATTCTTATGTCGATACGATATATCCTGGTGAACTTGAGATAAAAGATACCACAGAGTCTGATACATCTGTTTCATATTTGGATATTTTACTTGAAAAAGACGTTAATGGTAATCTAACAACCACGCTTTATGATAAACGTGATGACCTTAACTTTTCAATCGTCAACTTCCCTTACTTATGCAGCAATATACCTTCATCACCTGCATACGGAGTATATATCTCTCAGTTGATTCGATACGCAAGAGCATGCTCTACGTATGTACAATTTCTAAAACGAGGTAAATTATTGACAAATAAGTTGATGAAACAAGAATATCAGCTTGTCTCGTTTAAAGTCATCATTTCGTAAGTTCTATGGTCGATACAATGACCTTGTCAGCAAATACAATTTATCATTGAGTCAAATGCTGACTGACGTTTTTCATACTAATTGTTAGGCCATTATTTACACACTGAATTGTCGACGGATTTTTCCGTTATTTCCCGATCATGACAAGGAGCACACGGCGGGTGTGACCGATCGGCAGGGGATGCTCACTCCTCCATGGCACCTGATCCCACCTCTGATGTTTGGAGGTCCGTGTTTGCTCTGCTCCTATTTTGTATTGTATAATGGACTTTTGAGCTTGAATACTGTTCGTTATCTCCATATATTTCACGTAAAACAACATATAATCAATCAATCGATCTTCCTTGGAAGACGGTATACAGAGTTGAAGTATTTTACAGTCTGCGGACTGTGTACTTCCTATCTTTGTGATTGGTAGAAATTACACAATAATGCCATTGGTTAAAATGCTGTTTTGGGCAAGGGAGATAATTTTCTTATGATAAAATTTTCGTACGACTAAACAATTTTTCAAGATTTTCAATCTTTAAAAAAAAATGACAAAACTAACAGTTGAAAAATGGCGCTAAATAAATCTAAATAACAATTTAATTTTTTTTTTTACTAAAAGGCGTTTTTTATATTTTCGTTGTAAACAGAAAATTAATGTTCTTTATTGTTTGTCAGATTTTCAGCTTGTATTTATTGTAAGACTGTTTCTTTGTTTTGCACTGTCTTTCTAATCCCTCTCTTTCTCCGTAAACCCCGACCAGCATCAGAGTCGAAGTTTACGGAAAAAGCCGAACGTCTGGTTGAACTTTCACATGGCAAGGCTAATGTTAATAAAAGTTGATGAAGGAATGAATGCCCAAGAATAATGCGGCCTGATAGGTGTATGTCAGTTTACTGTTTAAAGTTGTTGCTAAAGACGGCCAAGCTTTTTGAAAAAGCTCTACTTGTTTTACTCTTAACATCGTAACAGTGATAAAGGTGAAGAAATGAGTTGATTCGTACCATGTGCTAAGTAGGTGAAGAAATTAGTTAATTCGTACCATGTTCTAACCCTCGAGTGAAGGCATCCATGGCTGCCTTGGACATGGAATAAGAACAATTTCCAGGGATCTACACGAAAGGGAATGAGTGATTTCTGTACTTTGTACGCTGCGTAACAACGTATTGTCCAATTTCTAATTTGGCTTGATTAATATGACCAACAATACCTTCGATGTGACAGTAGACAATACACTTGATATATTGATGATGCAACCTGAAAGGAAGGGAAAAAAAATTAGAAAATCTTTGAGCTACGATACATCAAGCATAAAGTGATTCAATGTGCGTAGATAAAGACATTTTAGTCAGAATTACAGGCTCCGGGGCCCTAAAACATAGACGAGCTCACTTTTGATCTCGGTCCTACTTTTACCAAAGGGATTTATAGTGGAAAGGTAAGACTGAGATCAAAAGTGAGCTTGTCTAAGTTTTATAGCCCAAGGGCCTGGACAAAAGTTAAGTCAGACTAAGTTTTTATAACGTTAGATGTGCATATTTTCCTTTTCTTTAACCATTGGGAAAAAAAACAAACATTTACTCACACAACTTCAAGATCAAAAATGAAAAATTAATCAATTTTCCTCCTGATTTCAGCTTTATCTCCAAGAATGTCCAAAAGTCAGTATTTTCACTGTGTTCTTGATCAACAACTTTCAAGAAAATATGTTTCAACAAATAGATACAGTATAGTCAGAATAAGTGGACAAAAGTTGGGTCGCGTTAATTCTTAATTCGGTTATTCAGAATAACATCTTAAATCCATACATTTTCCATAAAGATATCACTTGTCCGTCTCTTTTTCCTTTAATGTTTACAATATACACTTACCCTTTTTGGCCTTAAGATATGGTATTGCTAGCTGTGTGAGAAAGTACTCTGACTTGATATTGACGTTCATAATTTCATCAAAGTTTTCTTCTGTTTCCGTCGAAATTGGCATAGGCCTCCCCATACCAGCATTGTTTACCTTGTATAAACAAATCGTATTTCTTTTAATAATTATAAATTTTTTAACTGACCAAAGTTAAAGGTTCATATATGGGCTTTTCTGATAAAAAAAAGTATCTTTTGTCTTGTCAGACGTCTTTGTCGTAACTTTAACTTTAACTTTTAATTTCATAGAACCTCATTATCAGCGTCAATCAAATTCATGACAAAAAATGATGATTAGTTTTAAGTTCAAATGAAGAGTAACAACTTTATTTCTTTAATTAAAGCAATGTTTGGGGTGATTAGGAAATAAGACAATTTAATTTACGGGTTGAATGTCAGCTGGACTTGTTTGACAAAGGAGTCATACCCTGCCTACTTTAAGGGATGTGATATATCTAGATGTCATTGAATGTGTTCATTTCAGATTTTTAGAACTATATTTAATTTAAAAATCTTAACACAAATTACATGATTTATGGAGAAACGAAACAATTTTCTATCCATTTATGCTTTTAAGAGAATGATTATGCACTGCCAGAACATAAATATGTCAACATTGTTTATTAATATATGTATAAATATCAATATAATAACATAAAATTAATAGCCAATGGGTTGATTATATCCCAAAAAATTTAACAATATTGTCATAAGTCATTTATCATATCAGTATTTAATTGACAACTGCTACGGTAAATCAGAATTTTAAAGAAATTTTATTAAGAAATGGTTAAATGATGTAAAATGTCTAATTATAATGCCAGGTTTACAGAATTTTTAAAACCAATTTCGGATTTGAAAACTTTACGAAAAATTTACCTCAAAAACAAAGAAAAATTGATCAGCCTATATTGTTTAAAAAACAATGAAAACCTTGGTAAACTCCCAGATTTTACTTAAAAAACAATGCGACAACATTTAGACTGGTTTAGTTTGTGAACAGAATCACGTAACGTTGATTCAATAACAGGATTTATGAAATTTACTAACGCTCGTTTTCTGATTACGCTCTTTAGCTCATCTGAGCTGAAAGCTCAAATTAGTTTGTCTGATCGCATTTTGTTCGGCCTGCTTCTAAAACTTTACACATTTTCGACCTCTTCAATTGAGCCAACGGGCAAATTCCAGCCAAAATTGCCACAAAGCAACCTTTGGTGAAAGGATTTCAAGTTTCAACTTTTTCAAAAGGAGATAATCAAGAATAAGTGATTGATTGGAATCTTAAAAATTTTCCTCGAGAATTAATGGACAAGAAGAGTTAAAACTTAAGTGAGAGTTTTATAACAGAGTTGAGACTCAAAATTGCTCAAATCATGTCCCCAGGGGGTAGGTTGGGTACAATAGGGGATCACAATTTTACATGGCAGTATAATGAAAAAAAATCTTTTAAAATCCTCATCGCAAGAACCACTGGATCAGAAAAGATGAAAATTTTGTGAAAGCTTTATTACATTATATTATAAATTGTTTAACTGTCCCCCGGAGGGTAGGGTAGACCACAATGGGCTTTCAAAGTTTTGCATAGAAATATATAGGAAAAACTCTTTAAATTCTTCTTTTTCTCAATAATAGCAAAACCATGATCAGTGATGTTAATAAGGATGCATCCTCAGATAGTGTAGACTCAAGTTTCTTCAAATCATGACTCCCGGGTTAGGGTGGGAAAGGAATGGATGAACAAAATTTTTTTCTTAGGAATATGATTGATTGATTGTATGTTGTTTTACGTCCAATTCGAGAATTTTTCACTCATATAGAGACGTCACCATATACATGTACTGGTTAAGGGCTTCAAATATTGACCTTTACTCGGCACGCAGGACCATTGAGCAGTGAGGGTTCTTTATCGTGTCAAGCCTGCCGTGCAGAAGGAACAGCAACTTTCACTGCAAAGTGCCGAGTGCACGGCGAAGGAACAGTTGCTACCTATTTATTATCGACTAAGGTCAGTCGCGGCCGGGATTCGAACTCACGATCTTCCGCTCACGAAGCGAGCGCTCTACCGACTGAGCTACCGTGAAAAGTGTCTTAGGAATATAGGAAAAACTAACAATCTTTTTCTCAGAAAAGCAAGTCAATAATAAGTTGTATTGAAAAGGAAGCTTGCTCGAATCATGACCCTCATGGAAAGGAAGGGGAAACAAAAGGTGATGAAAGTTTTACATGGGAATATATTGGAAAAAAAACTTTTAAAATCTTCTTAAGAACAGCGAAGGCATGATTAGTTCTAATTGATATGGAAGAATCCCTAGGTAGAATAGGTTCAAATTTGTTCAAACATGAATCCTTGGCAAAAGAGAGGGGTCACATTCGATGATCCAAAAAGTTTCAAAGTTTAACATAACAATATATATATATATATATATATATATATATATATATATATATATATATATATATATATATATATATATATATATATATATATATATATATATATATATATATATATATATATATATATATATATATATATATTAGGGATGTCAACGAATATTCGAACATTCGAATATTCATTCGATGAGTTGATATTCGAATATGAATTTAAGATTCGAATATTCGATGTTTTTCATATTTCATAAAAAGAAGTACTGTGATTAATAAATTTTGATTAGAACAGTGCTGGAAATATCCCTGTTTAATTTACTAGTTATCGATTTCGATAGCCTGATTTCTTTCACTTATCTTATTGATCTACTAAATTATTATGTTTTGAGTAAGGTGTTAAGGAATTATACAATAATGCTGTATAATACAAAACGCACTTTCATAGCTTTTATTAGTTAAATACGATCGGATCTAGAATCGACGACAACAAAATGAAAACCTTCTTAGAATGTCTAAAAGACGTAACGAGTATACTTCCAGATAAAATTAATTGATCATTGAATGAACGTCCAATAAAATTAATCTGTAATTAATATTGCAAAGGGCTCAATTTCTGAATAAATGTGTAAATTACACTGTACTTGATTATCTAGGGCTGTACATAATCCTGAATTTTATATTCATTATCGGGAAATTAGTTAATTACCTAGGAAAATTATCTATGGAAAAGTTTGTTTATATTTTAAAAACATTATAATCAAAGATTATAATTATATCCCTTATTAGGCTGATAAATATAATTAATTACATGTATTGAAATCTATCTTGCTTTAGGTGTAAGACGACTGATTCCTCAGTTGGAGCTACAATAAATACACATGTATCCGTTGTTAAAATTATACTTTTCTACATTTGAATCATTTATTTATTTGAGACATTGACAAATATCAAATGGAATTCCTTATTGTACAACTGCAAAAGTCTTAATACAATTTCATTTCCAATTTACCTACATGTACGCTTAACCTTTTACGAGATTAGGATAATGCATATTTAATTAAAATATACCAGATTTTATTTATTTTATCGAATATTCGAATATATTCGAATACTTTCATTGAATATTCGAATAAGAATTATTGACAAAATTGACATCCCTAATATATATATATATATATATATATATATATATATATATATATATATATATATATATATATATATATATATATATATATATATATATATCATGACTTGACTTGCCTAGATAGCCGAGTGGTCTAACGCGCTGTTCCTGTACTGCTATGAGACAGATTTCGTATGTCGAGAGTTCAACCCCGAGCTGGGGCGGAAGTGGGTATCCTTATAAAAGTGAATTTCTTTGTGCTTTCTATATATATATATATATATATATATATATATATATATATATATATATATATATATATATATATATATATATAAACAACTAAAAATCCCTTGACAAGCAAAAAAAGGTCAACAGATGTTTTCATTGAGGGGGCACAAGCATATTGGCATATAGAAGCTATGTTTTCTATAATAATATATTCATCCTACGGCCATGTGGTTAGATTATTTGCTCTAGAGTCACAGAGTAAGGATTTGATCCTCTCAAGAACTTTTCACTCACATGGAGACGCCAACACTTGCGAGGGCTGCAAATCTATACCTATACTCGGCACTCAGGGCCATTGAGCAGTGATGGATCTTTGGTGCCTACACCTACTGAGACATGGTACCTCGGTTTATACAGTCTCATCCGAAGGACCGGTCTCCACGTCCTGCTGTGGATTCGAACCGGCGAGGTAAGGATCAAGTCCTTACTCTGCGACTATAGAGCAGACGCTCTGACCAATGCGCCACTCGGGCGACTGTAAGTACACATTTTAAAGAAAAAGATGTGCCTTATTGTGTAAGTAATATACAAAAAAAAGATTCTAATCGTTGCAATCTAACAAAATTAATAGTATCTACTGTATTAATTGAATACTTACTAGAACATCAAGTTTCCCAAATGTCCAAGTGTTTGTTCCACGAGTGTCTTTCTAAAATCATTCGAAGATATGTCACCCACGGAGATGAAAATCTGTATTAAATTAGTACGTCGAATATAAGATAAAATAAGTTGTATATTTCCTATCAATTTTACAAGGCTTTAGTTGTAAATTCATCCTCTTACTCAAGTAAGCATTCCCGAAGTTCTGCACCCGAAGTAATACTTTCCCACCCGCCACTCCCACTTAAAGATAATTATTAGTTTTAATTTTTCATAGTTTGTATCTAAAATATATATTCAGTGTAAAATTCTGATGTTATTTTTTATTTTTTTCAGGTTACTGGTACATTTATCTATGACTTTTTTCGTACTTATACTTAAGTTTGTACTTGTAAAGCTTGTGCTGTATAGCTATCAGAAAATATATCAGACAAGCAGAGACATTAGTCATGATTATATGATTATCTTATGTTAAATTTTGCACATGTATTTTACATGCTTTCCAGAGCAAGAAGTGTCTCGCTAAGGCTACACTAGGAGTTAATACAAGCTTGCTATGGAGTGCATTAGGAGCCGATGTGAGGGATTTATTTGGTATAACATTAACCTCGTATGCCGTTCGGTTTAACGGGTGGATTTTTTTTTTTACAATGGGCTTGCCTGTTCAGAAAAAAGGAAACAGC